TAATTGAATTGGGTCAAGGCTTTCTATACAATTTTTGAATAAATAAGTTCATAGACACGAAATGAAGAAGTAAGTAAGAAACTAAAGAAATACGTAACAACATCAAACAGAATAGTGTTAATGATGCGATGAAATGTGACTTACCATCATATGTTAGTTCTGAAGGATTTAGTGATGATAAGAACTTACCATCTGAAAAGAGAAAAAGAAAAATTGCATGAAATAAATTTGCCTGTCGGAAATGATAGCAATTAATTAACAGAATAATTATTTATTTGTAGTGTGGCGGTAATGCATTTGAATAATTATTGCGGGCTCCGTAGCGCAAAGGATTAAAAAGCTTAATTTAAATGTAAGAAATACATATCCTGGTTGTTTTATAGGAATCTTTTTATAGAGCCTTTGGTCTAACCCAGACTAAAAGATCTTTCGAAAAAGTTGCAAAAGAAATATCACATTATTTCTTGTACTCGTACACACTGAAAATGTTTTATGAAATGAAATGTCAATTGAATAATAATTTCAAAACTTTGTCTAATTTTATGGGCAATTTTTTTAAATTTTTAAAAAATTTAAATTTGCGCGCCTTCGGTGTCTTCAATACGTAATTATGTATTAAAGATCATATAAAAAATTTGTAAAAATTTATAAAAATGAATAGTTGCAATCCCTCCGAGTCCCAACTTACCATTTTTTTTTACCAAATTATATTGGCAATCGCTGTTGGGAAAGCAAATTACACGCTCACTTTGTCAGAAGTTACCAGTTTTGATCCAATAATTACTTGCTGGTAAATTCTGGTAAATGTGTCAAATGGTCGCTGTAGTTAGTGTTGCCGTTGTGCGACTAAAGGGGCAATTAGACTCTTTTTAAGCGCCAATACCCTTTGACCCGACTTTTCGAAAATTTTGATTTTTTGACCCTTTTCCAAAATTATGTGCGAGTTTTGCCTTTTTCCAGAGATTCTTTAGGAAATGTTAACAGAACCGTGATCTTAGAAAATATTTCCTCCTGTAAATACGAAAAAATGCTTCACTATAACCAGTTAGCGACAAGTATCAAAAGCTCTATTGGCTCCTACATTCGGGGTTTGATAGGCGAGTCTCCCCTGAACCGTTTTTTCCATATTTTTGGCCTATGTGCGCTTTTATTCGAAACCTTAATGTTTCGGTACCGAGCGTCGAGATACTTAAAAGTATTGACTCAGCACATCACTACTGCTGTCATCTCGACTGTGACGTCAGCTGATTCTGTCAAATTCACTGAGAGCCGATTAGCGGTATTGCCATCGGCGCCACCTTCTGTATTCTCTCCACCGTGATTCATATGTATGTTTGCAACCCTGTTTTGTGTAAAGCTTGTCCCGCTATTTGCTTTTTAAATTCAACAGATTTATTCTTCTACTAGTAAATAAAATCAAGAATAATATGGAGACCCTTTTTTCGTCAATGGCCCTTTTTTTGCGACTTTTTGAAAATTCTGAACAGCAACACTGGATGTAGTGTGTGACAACAAAATTCTACTAAACTTGTAAGGAATTTTGGTTATGTCGTCAGAAGTTACCATTTTTACGAGAAAGCGATCCCGTACTCTCGCTCTAAGCGGATTTTTATTTTTTGACAGTTTTACTAGATTTAGTCCGAAGATACGGGATTGTACCTACTTAATCATTTTCAGTTGAACAAACGAAAGTGATTTAAAAAGATTTTAGTTAAAAATACTAATGAAAAAAATTTCGACCTGTTTGAAAAGTCGAATTTGGTTAACCTATACACAAGTTTTATGAAATAAGATATTGGCGTAATCGAACAAGAAGATATCTGGCCACCTTTTCGAAAAGTCATATCGATCTTATTAAGTATACATAAACAATTTTTTCTGATAGTCAAATTAAAGACCTTAGCCTGTAGATGTGCGATAAAGTTTTATTTTTTTAATTAAGAACTTTTTTTCATCGGCACAGGGTGATTTGAAATTCGATGAAATTAAAAACCAACACTATGCGAGATCTCTATGCACTCAGAAACGGCACGGCACGGTTTTAGATAAAATATAGCACTCGTATCTCTATAACACTGACTAACATTTATTTATTAGGTTTTTGAAATTAAATTTTGGGCATTTTAACGCCATGCGGGGTCACTAGTATATTTCAGTATTCAAGAAATAAGGCTTTCTTTTTTGAAGATCTTCGTGTGGCCCGGCCATTCGGAGATCGGCGAAAAACTGTAAAGCAACGGAAGCCAAGTCACTGAGTAGAAGTGTCGGAGTGTGTCTTATCCCTTAAATTTATTTTCTACTGTATAATTACGGGAAAAATAGTAAAACCATCGAACAGTGTTTACATGAGGCGATTTTATAGAAAATTTTAGAGGCGATAAGTTGATTCAAGTATTGGCTGACCCATCTTCATCGGAAGCGATTGTTGCTTTCAACTGAAAATTGCCTGTAAAATTGCCTCATGTAAACACCGCGAAAGGCTTCAAAGGTCAAGGAGGACTATTTTAAATTTTGTCGACTCTGTAGGTACATGCGAATATAATAATAAATACAAACGCAACCATGAAACACCAAAACTTACTGTTCCGTTTTTAATATAGAAAGAAAAGTTTATAAAAACGAAAATGTTTGACGATACTGAACAGCAAACAGGACAGCACTAATGTTCACTTCACAACGAAGACCACCGCAGAGTGCTAGTGAAAATAACGGAGCAACCAAAGCTTATTGTACTCACCAATAAGTATGATTGTATCAAGGCACTTTGAATTGCAGTAAAATTAAGTAAAAACTCAAAAAAAATATATATCTATATACATATATATTATATGTATTTATATGCGCATATACATTTGTATAAATATACATATATGCGAATAGCAGCCAATATGCGACCGTGCGGCCAGCAGCCAGTAAAATTACAATTTGGACGACAGGTGATAAATAAATCGAATGCCATATTTAGGCTGTGCCGCTGAGTGATCCTTTTCAGCAGGCCCTACACTAACTATCTATATAACTGACTGACTCGCTATTTGGCAGGCGCACTGCGCGTTCTTGAAGCTGTATGACTTTGCTGAAAGCTGAAGAGTAGCTGCTGTGCGCTGCTGTTTCTTTTTCTTCTTCTTCTTCTTCTACTACATCGTCAACTGCATCTTCGCCATTTTTGTGTTGCATTGCATTTAATTGTGTAAGCAGTGGTGGCAAATAACGGAGCCGTACGCAGACTCATTGCCACAATAATTGTAATATGTATCAATACAGTGCCGCACTACGACACGCACACACACACACACACACCTGTGCACACTGCACCTCCAGCAATCCGGGCAAATCATATCGTTTAATGCAGTGCGTTGATGGCGTTGATGAGGGCGCACTAGTGGCAGCCATAGTTGCTGCGTTTTTTTTTTTGTTTTTGTTATTCTCTTGCACTTTTTTATTGTTATTGTTGCGCGAGCATTTTTAAAAGGTGTTGCACAGTATGAATTGTTTGTTGCTTGTGGCAGACAATCGCAGAGACGAAAGTGCAAATTGCCGCCAAAACGACGATGCACACAGTGACAAGTGGCAGCAGACCGGGAGTCGCATTGAAGTGAATGCAGTGAAGTAGCCGCGAAGACGGTCGGATACAGCGCGCGCGACCGCATTCTGACATTAATTGCGGGTTAATTTTAAGCTTTGATTTCTGCACATTGCACCCTACTGTAGAGTGGGCAAAGGCACTTTTGTTGGTGACGCGACGTGAAGCAGCGTCAGCGGTGGAGGCGCAGTCAATTTAAATGCAAAATGATGCATGAACTGTGCGAGTGACTGACTGTGCGCTGTGGCCGCTGCAACCCAATGCATTGACAATATTGACAGCGAAATTATTGCTAAGTGCGGTTAATTATAGTGATTTATTTGCCGATCAGTTTGTACGATATGGGGGCGAATAGGCGGCGCGACGCGCAATTTATCCGACGTAAGTTTGTTTTGAGTCAGCTAGTTGGTAAGGGAGCGAGTGAGTGAGTAAGTGAGTGAGTGTGGTGGCGACTTGATGAGTGGCGCGCAAAGGAGTACAGAATAGATTTGTAAATTTCTTTTGTATATTCTTCTTTTTTGCTTGCAAGTGAAGCATATTTTAAGATTGAACAGCGCCGATAGCCAAGTTAGTGGCAAATTAATGCGATACTCGCAACGCTCGCTCGGCTAATTGCAACAAATCGCTCAATAATGCTAGATGCATGAAAAAAAATGCATGAAGTGCGCTCTAAAGTGTAATAGGAGAGTATATTAAAATGAACTAAATCAAATAGAGGTAGAGCGAAGTTAACGCGCATGTAGCGGATGTACATATGTAAGTGTCTATATTTAAAGGTGCATATGTATGAACTAGGGATTTTTAGAATGTCATATTTTTCAAATTCGCGAATGCGAATGCGAATTGCTGAACTGCGAATGTGCGAATGCGAATCTTAGGAATAACATTAAAAAAGCTATAATCAACTTAAGTCATCGTTTTTAATATTTTTTTTGTATTATATCAGAACATTGAACGAATGCTTAACCTATACAGTGTTTAAATCTAGTAGTCAAAGTTCAAAAAGGGCATATTATATTTCAAAAAAGTAATTTTGCTGCCATTTCTCACATGAGATGATTTCCTGGAAGCTCGTATATTTATAAGGCCGGCTGCGCTGAACAAGATCCGTCATTTTATCTTATTTTAGTTTAGCTTTCCACCAATCGAGAGGGTTTTCATTGAGATGAGCTCGTTTTTCTTTAAGATAGGCCTTTAATTGAGCTTTAATTTCACATTTTTTAATGTCTCCAGATTCTACATCCGAGCCCTGGCTTTCGCTGGAGGAATCTAGAACTATTTCTAGGTTGCTTAAAAAAGTGTAAGCAGTACTTGTTGAAGGCCCATCAGTGTTGCTTCATATACTATTTAACCATTTAGAGCCTGAAGCTAAAAGCCGGTTATTGTCCCCAGCTTGGTTAGACAGACTTAGAGCCATTTCAACAATATTAGAGTGGACTCTCTGCTCTGCTATGCGAATGCGAATGTCGTATGCGAATGTGTAAAATGATGCGAATCATTCGCATAACGAATGCGAATGAAAATATTCGCAACATCCCTGATATGAACATATACTTGCATATGTACGTATATATATACCAATTCATCAATAACACTAATCATATGAAAT